AGTCAGCGGAGCGTGGCGATCCACCACTCCTTAGCATCAAAAGCGTGCGGCCAAACGCCGCCGCCAGCTCAAGCGCTCTGAGGGATGTCTCACTCATCACTCATCCATCCAGCGCTGCCCGCAGGGCCAGTCGGCTCCGACCTGCTCTCGCCACGAACCCCATCATCGCCAGGAACTTCTTAATCAGGGGCCCGTCCAGGTGCTTCATGTCACTGATGTTATCGAGAGCTGCTATCTTGGTGACGCGCAGCTTCTTCTGCTGCACAGCCCTCTGCAGCCACAGCAGAGGTGTGTGAAAGTGTCGAACTCGTCCGACTCCACGACGTTCAGCGATGCCCTTGCCCGCCGTCGCGTCGCACTTCAGCACGATCTCGAGATCTACACCCATGTCCTTTGCGAGAGTCTTGAGGCCGAGCCCAATACTGTCGCCCTTCACCAGCGCGTGGAACTCCGTTTCTCCCGTAGATAGAGCATTGAACCCTTGGGTTGTCGAACTGCTTCTAATCCAATGCTTCCCAATCATCACCGTACACGATTAAGTAGACTTACGTGTTCTCAGGCAGCCTGCGAAGTCACTGTCCGTGTAGACTTGAGCAACTTGCCGATCTGCCTGCCATGGATACTCAACCACCAGCCTCGGGGTACCTACGAGGTACCGACCGATCCGTTTCATGGCCTGCCATCCGCCCCATCGTCGGGTCCTGCATCACTCGTGCTGATTCCTTCGCCGCGTACTGTAGATCAGGTCGACCCTGCGCCAGGTATTGGATACGCATGCACACTGAGCGGTAGATGACCCGCTCTCGTCCTTGTAATGCTTCTCCATCCAGCTCCTGCCTCTTGATCCCCGGCGTGACCACGGGCTTGCTCTCTTTACTCTGCAGGCCCAGCTGGGCCAGGATGATCTCCACGTGCCTCGGGTCCGCCTCGTACTCGATCTTCTCCACGTCGTTGCCGTTCGGCCTGACCCACCTCACGATGCGATTCAGCACCGCGATCTCGTCGATGTCGCCGCTCTGCGGGTCAGGTCCCAGAACCCCTCGTACTTTCACGATCAGGTGCTCGCCGAGGTTCTCCGTGAAAGCCTTTGAATCCTTTCGCCCGCCGAGCACCGCGAAATCGTCGCCGTGCCTCCAAACGACCAGCTTGCCAACCTGGTAGATGCAAGGCGAGAACTCGCCCTGCTTCGACTTCAGGATCCTCGCCATGATGTCCTCCGCCTTCAGGTCGAATGATGAGCTGGCATCTCTCAGCCCATACATGGCCTTCAGCAGCAGCCAGCACTCGTCATCCTTGCACTCTAGATCCTCCGCTGGCGCCTTCAAGTATACTGGCCTCTGCAGCTCCGAGTGTAGATGCGCTCTTGAGATATCGATGAAGGTCAGCACTCGATCTTCATGCCGCCCTGTCATCGCCATAGACAGAATCATCCTCAGGCCCTCCAGCGGCGGGGTCGCCGCAGCGTGCTCAAGCCCAAGGGTGCTCAGCTTCCGCGTCTCTTTCGCCACCAACCGACTCCGTAGTTCTGGTTTCTGGTCGTCTCCCTTGTTGGTGTCGACCCAGCCGCTTGGAAGCGGCTTGGTTCCCGGCACTTGCAGCGCCTCGGAAATCTTTCTCCTCTCAAACACTCCGAGCCTGCTCATGTAGCCCATCTCGTCCATGCGTGCGTTCTTGACGTCTACCAGGTCCAGCACCGCGCCGCTGATCCCGTCGTAGAAGGTCGCCATCTCCTCCTCGGTCGCCTGGTCCAGTATCTCTGGCTCCTCCGTGGTCTGGCCAACTTCGAACGCATGGATCCCTTTACCGATCTCCAACTCGTTCCTGATGCCCTTCAGGATTGCCTTCACCAGCCCTAAGGGGTATCTCTCAGCCGCCTTTGCCCTCCTCTCCAGGAGGTGCACATGCTCGTGGGAGCCGTCACACACGATCCCCACCTGCTTCGCCACCTCGCGGCTATTCGTCATCCAGCCCGTCGGCTTCGCTTCGAGGCCCTCCGAACCGTCCGGCCAGTATGACTTGGCTCCGAACACGCACTGGCTGCCCTTGACCACTATGACGCCGGGCAGCTCCCTGATGCTCTTGATGCACTCCTCTTTCCAGCTTGACGCCGTCCAAGGGTGCTCGAACAGGAACCACTTCCCCCTCGAATGCTGGTAGGCCGCCAGCTCCATACAGAAGCCCAGGAAGACCTTGCACTCCGCGAGCAGCCTCTGGAACTTGACCTCGTCGCGCTTGCCGCTCGCCTTCAGCAACTCCATCAGCTGTGAGAACGGGGTGCATACAGGAGACATGATGAGGAAGGCAGGGTCTCACTCCTCAATCTCCGCTCTCGCTCGCTTCCGCTGCTCCTCGAGCCGGAAGTCCCAGCCCGTCCTGAGGTCCATCGCCACTCCTGGCTTCAGGTTGAACTTTGGAGCTCCCTTGGCGAACTCCCCTGGGTTGAAACCCTCCTGCAAATCCAAGCTGTCGAGACCAAGCTGTTCCAGCAGCGCACCAATCT